CCAAAGGAGCTGAAAGGACAAGCTCAAATAAGAAGAACAAGCTTATTTATGAGTTAACGTCAAACTGTCGTTGAAGGCCAGAACTATTAGTGTGATGTAGAGCATGTTCTTGTTCTGCAGCCTGCAAGTGGCCAATTAGAAGTGAATCAATCTGAGTATTTCCATGAACTAATGGTTCAGGCAGTTGAGAATGAGAACGAAGATGAGTGATGAATAAAGGAGCTCGACGTTGGCTCAAAGTAGAAAATAAAAAGGAAAAGAGTTTTTGAAGAAGAGAAGAAGTAGCACAAAGCGGTAAAGTGGCCACAAGAAATATAAATGCCTCATGGCATATTGAGAATCACTAACAATGGCCCTAAGCAGTAGTAGGGAAATTAAGTAAGACCATGAGAATAGTAAACAATTCTCCCTATTGCACCGAGGGATAAGGATAAACTGTAACTCAAGATTGATGAAGCTTCTTGCCAAGAATCAGAAGTTGCAAGAAGATAAATGATCTGACTATGAGTGAATTGAGAGATAATTAAGGGAAGGATCTCCTCCCCAAAGTTGTCATTGATGATGCCGTCCTTTGATGATCAGTTCAGCTAAACGATCGATATAAGTAGCCAAGTGTTTAGATGTTTTATTGGTACAAAAAAGATCCATTTTAGCAGCTGATTGGTCTGATGAATCATTCCTGTAGGAGAATGTAAAGTATGAAATAAACAAAGGAAAGAGGAAGATCGGGAAGGATATAATGTAAATGAGCCTTTTGAAGTTGCTCTTCCACAAGCTGGAGTTCCTGTAAAGGCCAAAGGGTTAAATGGCAGCGTGAGCTGTCAGTGACTGTCTCCTTCTAGAATAGAAAAAGATGTTGTAACTGAATAAAGAAAAACAATTTTTGAGATCTATGACCATTAATTTTTAACTTTGTGGGATAAAAAGGGCAGGATTAGGAAGACCAGGCTGTAAACTTTCCTAGGTTTAAGTAAACATTTATAGTTTTAAGACAAGACAAAGGCAGAATTCCATGCATAAATGCGTGGCTTTATATTCCTCTCGGCCATTTTGTTTGACCCTCTTTTAGAAGTCCAGTATTTCTTTAAATAATAGTCCCTATTTCCACACTCATCGAGTAAGTAGCTATAGTTTAAAAGGATTATAGCCAGCCCCAGACATCATATCTTTGGCAGCTGAGGAAACCTGAGAATGTTTAAAAAGCAGCAAATTGTTGTGAAAGGTCTTGTTCCCAAAATTAATATTGATAGGAACAATATAAAAATAAAAAAACACTTGACCTTGTTAACCTTTAGGACGCTTGAGTTAAAGGTTCTACGTCTTGATAAACCACAGAAGCAGCACCCAAGCCAGTGAGTATAACTGCAACTTGTCTTTTTTCCTATTGTATAGGCCTCTAATTTAAACAAATAATAGACATATTTACCACCGTATCAATTAACCCTTTAAAAACTATTTCATTAATGTGCAAAGAACATAAGGGCTTTGATTAGAAACTAAGGTTTCCAAAACAGTTTTCTGTGCTACCAAACCCTCCTATTGAAAATACATTCCCTGCCTCTAGGCAAATGATTATGAGACTCAAACCATAATAAGACTTTTATTAGTAACATTATGTCCTTTTGGCAAAGGAGCCACACTCTCTAATAGCTAATTTATATACTCCTCTGTTAGGAGACAAAGTATAAGGCTGAGTAATGACTAAAAGTCAGCAGCGGCGCTCTGTGAATTGCCACATAAAGCTGAGAAACTGGGAGTAAGGTGTAGGATCCTTAAGGAGGACTTGAATTTATTCCTTAATGTTATGAAGGCCATTGCTCACTGAGTATTGTGCAGATTTAGTCAATAACAAATATTTGTAAACAAATAAGGTGATTTTGGTGCAGAGATTCGGTTCGTGGTTTGCTGTTCAGTGCAGTATCTGCTTTGTAAAAGATGGTGGACCACAAAAAATACTCAACGGATTTTGGTTTCCATTCCTGATGCTATCCAAGGCTAAATGGATACTTGAAATTGGGATTGGATCTGGTGCTGAGATACCGCTTTTACTTAGTTATTGATTTTCTTTCCTCCGATTATTCCAGGAGGGTGACTGCATTTTTGTACTTTATAGAGGCAGTCTGAAGGGTTACTTATGTAAGCTCTGGGGACAGAAAGTCATATTTTCAAAATATAATAGCTATGACCTTGAATACATTTATAAGCTTGTCTTAACTCTGTTACTGAAAGCAAACACCTTGTTTGTTATTTCTTTTAAGGCTTTAGACAAAGCTCCAGCAAATAATTGAGCATTATAAATAGCTCCCTCAACACTAACTGGGATTTTAATATCTTATCTAAATTGGCCCATTGGCCTTTAATTTAACAATTTTTGACAGTCAGCATATGCATTTTTTTAAAGACAACGTTTGTAACAAAATTTTGAAGCAGAGTCAGCACCCACAATTTTTCAGACAGCATCCTGAAGGCAGACTACGAAATCTGAATATTGTTCATTTGTGCCCTGTAAAATCTTCACAGAGGAAAGGAAAGATTTTCCTGTTATCTCTACCTTATTTTAGGCCCTTAAACAAAGTCTTCAGTTTAAGTAAGGCAGCATCTTCTAGACCAGCTTAGCACTAAAAGTAGCATATTGGCCGTGCCTGTGGAAGATTGTTCCTCAGTGGCCTGAGATCATAACATTTTCTAGCCTGTACATGCGCCTTGTTCATTTACCAGCTGTGCAATTGTAACCACTGAAGCGATCAAGAAAAGCCTTCCCCAAAAGTCTTCCAGTATATAGAAATTATCAAATTTTCACGATGAAAAAATATCAAGAGAATGAGATAGGGTTCATAGTTAGAAATGGCAGCTTTCATTTCTTTTTTTTTAAAAATTTAATTTGTAAGGCATTAAATTGGACATTATTGCACCATTTGAAAACTAAGCATTAGGAGCAAAATACAAATAATTGGAAACCAGATCCAAGCTCATAAATTTTTTTTTTTTTGAGACATTTTTAATTCTAAAATGATACATATTAACTCTAAGCTGGAAAACATGGATCACTAAGTGATTTGTCACAGAAGCAAACAACTTAAAATCATTAACACAGAGATTATACCAAAATGCAAAGGCCTTCCCACCTCTGCACAAAAACAACAAAAGCCCAAAGTTGTTAAGCTGAGACATTTCAAAATAAATTATTTTATGACCTCGAGAAAAAGATCATATCAAAGCTATTTTATCAGTTCAGAAGGAAGTTTCCAGGAAATGTTTAATCAGTCAGCATAAGAGATACCAAAATCTAGGAGAAAGCGCGTAATAAAATAAAATGCTGCAAAACACAGTTCATCCTCAGACCTATCAGTAAAATATCCTAAATTAAAGACATGATAGAAACACTTGTAAAAGCAAGACAAAAACCCAAAGAAGAGAAGAAAGGACTCCGGCAGGAGCCCAAGGTTCACGAAGTAAGAAAACAGAGTGGCTGAACGCTGGAGAAAGCAGCCGGGGTTGGAGAGCACTGGAAAATTCTCTTTTAACAGGACAGAGGAAAAGAAACGAGGAAAGCTCACAAGGTGAATTAGAAGAAGAGATATCTGTAATATTTGTTGAAGCATTTCCATAATACACTGCATGTCAGAATTTCCCTTAGAAGAAGAAAGAGCTGGCTTTTTCTCTTCTCCCCCTTTGCTACCCTGCTTTCAAATGGGCTCCATTTCAGATTTATTTTATTTTATTTTATTTTTCCAAATCCTCAGATACCTTTCCTCCTGTGGCTACATTGCCACATCTGAGATCGGTCTCCAGTAACTCAATCTCTGGTGATAGAGTTACACAAGGTCCACAATTTTAGAGGCATAATATCCCCTAACTGGAAGGCTCTAAGCAAAGCTTTTACTACCTGTAACCATTTTTTCCGATTCAGCTGCACTTTAGTCTGATACTGAAACCAGTAACAATGTTATTCAACATGGGCAAACAATAAGCCAAAGTCTTTTCTTTCACTTCCTGCTCCTATAGACAGCAACAGTCCTTGAAACAGCCATAAATATTCTGAGGCCAGAGAGATGGAATTCCCATAATGAAAGCAGAAAGGTTCCCTTAACAATATCTGAGCCTTACCTGCTCCTACAAAGGGTTCCCCTTCTTATTTCTCCCCTACTCACCACGTGCTGACCCTGTCGCTGCGCCACTTGCTGAGGCCGCACGGGGGTGGTGGAGAATGAAAGAACACACACAAAGACAAAGACACACAGAGAACATGGCGCGCACTCCCAGGCCCTCCGCCTCACTTTATTTATACTCCATAAACCTCAGGTCAGCAGAAAGAATGCAATGCAAACAAACTTTCTTTTCCCATGTAACCTTCTACTCAGTACCTTGTTTCTATATTCCCAACTTGTCTACCCTTCTTGGCGCCTACGGGAGTTCATTAAAAGTTCAGTTGGAGATACTGTCAATAGGCCCTATCTCTTCTCAGCATACTGTTTTCAAAGGCCCCTGCATAGACCCCACTTTTTTGTGCAATCCCCTATCAGCCCTTTTTGTCTAGTTGCACGTTATGTTCACTTGGGGAGCGTTCTTCCCTTCTCCAGAAGTTTTAATATAATTAATATGGTGTTAGGCCAGCCACCAGCAGTTGTTAAAAAGCTTCTCAGGTAGTTCCACTGTTTAGCCAGGGTTGAGAATTGCTGATCTAAGGGATTGTAATAAATGACTTTGTAATGCTTTCTCATTTTCAAAACTTCCCTCCCCATTCCCCTACTTCCCTCCCCATTCCCCTACTTCCCTCCCCATTCCCCTACTTCCCTCCCTATTCCCCTACTTCCGCCCGTCCAAGTCCTCGGGCGCATGCGCGTTTCGCCTCCTTCCCCATCGCCGCTGCTGTGTCATGGCTGAGCGGAAGTCCCAGCCACAACGGGAAAAGGCATACTATAGGTGGGAGGCGCTTCTCACAGCTTTCTCCCCTTCCTCCCATAACCTTTTTGATCTCCCACTGTGGAGGGGACTCCTACCCTGCACTCTCCCGAACACCTCGTAGTCCACGGATTTGAGTGGCCCGGCGGTAGACATGGCTGCGGCGAGCCCTCTGTTGAGGAGCCGGAGCAGGGCTCGGGGCGCGGCGACTGCGGCGGCCGCGAGAGGGAGGGGACACATGGGACCGCTTGGCGCACCCCGCGCCTGTCACCGGTCCCGGACGCTAGCGCGCCGGGGTCACGCGTCGGACGCGGCAAATGAGACTGCGGGGCCTGGGAGCGAGGGCCGCTGGGGACGCCAGGAGGGAAGAGGCAGCTGGGCCCCAGGCATCCTAGGCCTCCTTTCTCTGCCTGTCTTCCCGGACTGGGGAGGATGCTCTCTCCACAGCGCTCCCTACCATTTAATTGATAAAGGTTCTCTGTTCCCAAAGTTAGTAAATAAAACCCGGATGCTGTGCCCAAAAAAAGTTGCTTCCCCCAGCTTTATTAAAGTGTAATTGACAAAAGTTGGGTATATTTGTGGTGTACAAGGTGATGTTTTGACATATGTATGCATTGTGAAATGATTACATCAATGGAATTAACATATCCATTGCACCATTTTTTCATGAAGAGAACATTTAAGATCTACTCATCAATTTTTAAGGACACAGTACATTAACTACAGTCACCATGTTACACATCAGATCTTCAGAACTTCCTGTTCACACTAACTGAAACTTTGTACCCTTTGACCAATATCTGCCCATTTCCAATCCCTTTCATCCCCCATCCCAGGTCCCCCGCCCTACTCCATCCCGGCAAGATTTGCTTTTGAAATCAAGGGCCTGCTGGTTTAGTGTTTTCAGAGTTAGTAAATTATTTATGAAATGTTTAGATGACTACCAAATCCGGCGATTTTGAGCCAGCTTTTAAGATAAGGTCTGCCACATCTTGAAATCTTCTGTAGAGTCAGGAAGTAGCTGAGCCTGAACTCATATTCTAAATGGATTGTGATATTTTTCTGGGATAAGAAACTTTTTAAAAATATGAAGTATTTTATTCTAGTGGAAACAGACAAAAGAAAAACACTGTAGTCATCTTGTCTGCTGTTCAGTCATACAGTTTTTTGTGTGTGGGGGTTTGTTGTTGTTTTGAGACAAGAGTTTCGCTCTTGTCGCCCAGAGTAAAGTACAGTGGCGCGAACTCGGCTCCACCTCCTGGGTTCAAGAGATTCTCCTGCCTCAGCCTTCCAAGTAGCTGGGATTACAGGCAAGCACCACCTTACCCAGCTGATTTTTGTATTTTTAGTAGAGGTGGGGTTTCACCATGTTGTCCAGGCTGGTCTAAAACTCCTGACCTCAGGTGATCCACCTGCCTTGGCCTCCCAAAGTGCTGGGATTACAGGTGTGAGCCACCGCACCCGATCTTTTTTTTTTTTTTTTTTTTTAATGATCTTGATTATTCTCAGCAACATCCCAATTGCCTAGAAGGTTAACGCTGTATTTTATTTCCTGGTGAGCTATTACAAAGTTTTAATATAAAACCATCCACCACTCCAAGGGATCTGGATACAGCTATTGATAATCTGCCACCTTCTAGAATTCCAAATATGTTTACTTGTGAGAATTTGCATTTCTGTATTTGTTGGCCTCAATACCTTTACATATTTCTCTGCATCTGGCCACACCGTTAAAATAATCCACTGCCATCTGATTCAATATACTGTGCCAATTCTATTAGAGAACACCAAAAATCACCTAAAACTTGGTTAGAATATGGTTAAATCATTTTTAAAGTAAAATGTATTACAGAAATGCTAATGCAGTTAATTTATGTAGTGAAGGTCTTGGTTTACTGCAGAGACCTCACAACTTACCTCTTCCATCTCCCAGTTCATTCCATGCAGACTCTAGAATCAACATAAATTTTAAGTCATTCTTCTTAATACGTTCAAAATAGAACCGGAGGTCTTCAGCCTCCACTACCTGCGTTTAAACTATAGTCAAGACACTCTCAGTTATTCCGCTGTTTCAACAGAGAGATTTAAAACAAAGAACCTCCTCTCTTGGATCTACTGTATCTGGAATGCCTTCCCCTTCTCCAGTATCTTCCTCGATCCCGCTCAGTCACCTCTGCGAGTGGTTACCAGATTTTATCCTAGTTATTTAGTATGCCTTCCCCACTAGTACAGTCAGTCATCTATATTAGCAGGTTCTGCATCCATAGATTCAACCAACCTCAAACAGAATTTTTTTTTTTTTTTTTTTTTAAGTATCTTGACCTGCACGGTGGTTCACACCTGTAATCCCAACACGTTGGGAGGCCGAGGCTGGCGAATAGCTTGAGCCCAGGAGTTAGAGACCAACCTGCACGATACAGTGAAGCCCCGCCTCTATAAAAAATACAAAAATTAGCTGGGTGTGGTGGCCTGTGCCTGTAGTCCTAGCTACTTGGGAGGCTGAGGTGGGAGTAGGATCACTTTTGCCCAGGAGGCAGAGGTTGCAGTGAGCTGAGATGGGGCCACTGCACTCCAGCCTGGGTGATAGAGCAAGACCCTTTCTCAAAAAAAAAAAAAAAAAAAAAGGCATCTCTACTGAACACATGCAGACTCTTTTTTCTTGTCATCATTTCCTGAACAATACAATATAATAGCATTTACATCTCATTAGTTATTATAAGTAGTCTAGAGATGACTTAAAATATACAAGACAATATGTGTACGTATGTTTCTATCAGGAACTTGAACATTCAGGATTTTTATATCCAAGGGGAGTCCTGGAACCAATCCCCTGCAGATAACAACGGACAACTATACCGTAGCTTCTAAGTAGTCACTGACTGGGAAGGTTGACATTTTCCTTTTCTTAATCAATCTTTGACTTTTCTCCACATTTACCCAAGAGTATCCCTGCCAATTATTAGGTAGGTTTATTTGAATTTTAGAAGTGCTATAGCAACAATTGACATTTGCTTAGCTGAAAAATTTGCTGTGTCTGCCAGCAGTCTAACATTAGCAAACGGAAATTTTTATGTACCATTTTGGCATGGATTGCCAATAATACATGATTCTAAGTCTTTAGAAAATTTAAGCAAATGTTTCTAATATATGTTTTAAGTAATTATAGTATGAATTCAACTTTTATTCTTCTTTTCCATGTTGTTATCTTTCCAATGAATATTTTAATAAATCATATTAGGTGGATAAACCACACATATACCTACTGTGAGTCCCTGTTGTTACATATTCAGGCTGCTTCTCATTTTTGGCTACCATAGAAAAGAAAATATTTGTGCATATAGCTTCCTTCCCACATATTTTTAATTGAAGTTAGAATATCAAATTAAGGATATAAGCATGTGGTGTTCTTGATGTATATTGCCTAACTGTTTTTCAAAGGGCTGTGCCAATTTAAATATATTACCACCAACACTGTATATGATTATTTGACTTTTTTTACAAATATATGTATGCAGGTCCTTCACATACAATGTGTGATTAAATTATATGAAGCTTTGGTTTTGTAACCTGAGCAACAGCTTTGGAATAACTAGGCTTTGTGTTACTACTGGTTGAAATTAAAACCTGTCAATTCCCTTCTTTGAAACCTTTAAGACAATTTGTTTGTGATCTAGGATTATGTTTAAGGTAATACATAGAAAAGGAAAATCCTGCTTATATAATATGACTGTAAAAGATGACCAAGCACTAGAACCTGTGAAATAATACACATATATAGATATGTATTATCTATCTATGATAATACATATGATAATAATACATATGATAATATGATAGATAATACACATCTGTATATGTGTATATCTAACAAGGATAGATAATACACAGAACCTGTGAAAAAAGGATAGATAAAACTCTGTGTCCAAATGACATTTGAACTGAAGAGGTACTGCCTGTAACTCTTGAATTCATCACCACATGGGGTCATTTGAAAGTGATTGCTAGTTATTTCTCAGAAATTTGATATTAAGATATGATTGATTTCAAGGACAAGCAAAATTACTTTATCTATCAACATATTTCTATCCCTGAAATATTTTTGTAATCATTATGGTGAAAGTACAGGACCCAACAGGATACAAATTGTTAACTTCCACAAGGGAAGAGGCCTAAACAGGCCATTCAATGATTCCCTGTGGAAGGAACACTTTATAGGTCAAAATAAATGCTTAGATAATTGTTACTAACTGGTTTCAAAATTATTAGACAGCAACTGTTGATCAGCTGAGTAAGTAGCTGGTTTCCCAGAAGAGGCTTTAATCTTATTACAAATTATCAGAAAATTGCTTAAGCGTTCTCTCAGCAAAGCATATTTCTTTACAGAAGGATATTCTGTCCGAGGTTTGAACCAATTTTTCTTTGTCACTGTCCAATTTAATAGTAAAAAGTCAGAAGGATAAGTAACATTAAAGCATCTTCCCTCTCCCAGCTTGGTACTGAGTATGCTAAAGTGAGGAGAGGCCATGGTTGGTCCCTGCCCTTGCCTTCATTTCCCCCTACCTAGCTGAAAATGGAAAAACACAACGTACTTTTGAAATCCATTTGGGCTCTCTGGGAATGGTGAATATCCAAAGCTGATTACTTATTTTGCAGGATTCTTTTTGTGGGGACTCAGAGCTTCACCCTAATTGGAATTCCTGACTGCTGCTCCCTTGTAAGGCAATGCCAGTTCTCTCTGCAGCCCCATCCCAGCTTCTGTATTAAATGCCCTGGCCCAGCTTGTGTATTAAATGCTACACTTCCAGCCTCTTTCTGCTGAAAGAGACTAGCCCCCAGCAAGAAGGCCATCTGGGTGGGATCCATTTTAAACTGACCACAGGACCACATCCCTTTCCCCCATCACATCCTAGTTGTGGAGACTCATATCTCTGCCCTACCAGTGATAGAAGTCACAGATTGCTCTGAACTCAACCACCTCTCTTTGCTCTGCTTGGCAGTCATTTTTCAGACATCTCCAGCTACAGCCTTTCCTCTTGCCTTTCCTCAGGTATCGGTCAACCTGTCTTTCTAGCTCTGAGGAGTAAACACTGAGATCTCAGAGAGGTTTTCTTAAAGACTGTTTCACTGAGCTTGGGGTGATGAGGAAACACCCTGCTTCTCTCTCATATGGTGGGAGGAAAAAGCTACAGTTCCCCAGTGCATTTCCCCAAAGAAATATTCTGGAGCCTGAGGTGGGTGTTGGACTAAAAATCTTAAAACTCTTTTAAAATGCCCCTTTTGTACAACACATGGAGTTTAGCACCTCATCTCAAAATGTAGCTATAACTATGTTTTTTTTTTCAGTCTCAGGTCTCAGCTGAAGCTGAGACAAAAGTCCTGTTTTTCAAATCAACAGAATTCAATACATAAACCTTGTTTGGATCCTGATTTGAGTATGTAAATCTGAACAAGACATTTTTTAGACCATTGGAGAACTTTGAATGTAGGCTGACTACTAAACATTACAGAATCATCATTAACTTTGTCACTGTGATAATGGCATCGTGGGTATTTAAAGGCGTTATCTGTTAGAGACATGTACTGA